AGGTTATGCAATTCCCGTTTCCCTTCCCCCACATTGTCGTCTTCCCCATCACTGGTTTGTCAGTGTGAATAAATGAGAATCCCTGGAATGATGCATTACAGTAATACTTCTATAATCTCAGCTTTACAATGAGAGACATGTGCAAGTTTGTGTGTATTTAAACTATTATTCAAATGATATATGATGTACAAATGCATTCAGAGTATTACAAAAACCCAGTGAGTCAGAGTTGGAGAGCCTTCGGAGTTGCTGTCAGCATTTGTTAATGAGTTAACAACGCTGGAGATGAGATGGTATGTCTATGGAAGCGTGAACAAGGGATGGGAAATGTAAAGGGGGCGAAGAGGAGGTGGGCTGCCTGGAAGAGAGACGTGCACTTTGAGACGAAGAACAGGCTAGCGGAGGGCTGTGACTCAGAAGAGAGGGTGGTGAGAGTGGGTGTCAAATGCTGAATAATGATCCTGTTCAATCAGCACCTGCACAATGAAGAGCAAATGCATGTACAGTATCAAAGAATTGGAGAATTCTATATGCATTCATACTCTTAAAAGTTGACCAGATTAACTTTTAGTAGAAATACACAAATGACTGAAAAAAATATTGATTCATCTTATATTGCTCACCTTAATGAGAATGTCCTTACTCCAAACACTGACTAGCAATAGCGAGTAGCAATTTTATTTTGTTATTATTAGTAATTTACATAATTAAAAAAAAAATCATTAACTTGTTTTCCAAATGAAAATGTAAAAATCAACTAAATAAATTAACTACATTTTATATTAAATTACAATTACAGAAATATGAAAATAAGTTATTATAATACATCTTCATTCATCGAATTCATCTTGACTATTTGAATATAAGCATTTTTTTAAATTCTCAAAACAAGTGAAAACAATCTGAGACGACACACTTAAGATGCAAGTTTTCATTTTGCATTACTGCATCTCATTTAAATCTTGTTTTTAAATAGCATAACTTTCCACAATGACATAAATTACGGATTTATTCCCGGAAAATTGAACAGAACCAGCTTGAAAATGTTTTTCTGACAAAAACATACAATAAAGGGTGAGATAACTAAATGAAAATGGAAGACAATATTCATTAAGAATAAAATGTTTTTGCAGAGTGGGTGTGACGTGGCCGTTAAAAAAAAAATGTTTTCAATATGGCAACAGGAACTGAAGCTGTGCTTCTCAAGGGATTTCACAGGCTCTTTTTTATTATGTCCAATCAGTCTCCAGAAACTGAGCGACTTGATCATTGTACTTTCATGAATTCACTTTATGGTCTGATGTCAGCATCTTCCAGAAACAACTTTTCTTTCGTAGCAGTGTAAAATACTGTATCAGTGTATCTAGAAGACATTGATGCATATCTGGCAAATGCATTTCCACAAATGTGGTTCGGCCGAAGAAAATCATCAAGATAAGAGTAGTAGAGAAGCTCTGAAAAGAGCAGAGAGACATTTCGGTCTTGGCTGATAGTGCTTTCATGTGTTTTGTTTTTTACAGTAAGTTGTGCGATAAGTGTGCCATATGAAAGTCTACGGTTGAGAACATCCCTTTCAGCTTGGACAGCAGAGGACATTATCCCCATCTGATGATAACAGCATTGTATTTCTTTCTCCACAACAAAGAGAAACACAAAAAAACAGGATTATGTGTCAGGAAAACACAGACTCAGCGAAAACAGTAAGTAAACTCAATAGAAGGCAGTACATGCACTTTTCAAATTGGTTGTACTGAAATGTGTGTTGGCACTGCCTGTCCACAACCATCATATAATGATAAAAATCCATCCAGTGTTTTTTTTTTTATTTTTTTTATTTTTTTATCTCCTTATATGTTTTCCCCTGTCTCAAATCTAGCCATTTGACTGTGTAACATCACACGGACGTCACAATTGACAGCAGCGTTTCAACAAGGACCCGCCCTGAGCGAGCTGTCATCATAGTCCGTCATTGTTGATACGCTGGAGCAGAATGGCTTTTAAGCGATTGTGATGTTCGGTGTAATAACGAACACAGCAGTCATTTTAATGTTCCTAAATCCGAACCGCTGAAGATGCAGTGCCTGAGTTTTGTTTTCGAAGGGAATATTCCCCACGAGCAACGTCTTTCATGTTTGCACGAATCATTTCTTACCAGACTGCTTTATAAAGGAGGGTATAAAGCTGGTTTTGCTCCTGAAATAAGAATCGGTACCAACTATTCGTGTTTCTGCTGCACCTCCAGAAGAAGTGAGTGTTGAGTTTTATTAACCTTTATATTCATATATATATTTATATATATAAGAAAACACAGAGTGTTCATATCGTTTTAGCTTACCTCAAGGGCATCCAAGATGTAGGTGTCTTTGTTTCCAATGTATTTTCAATTTTGATATTATTAGGTCAAACCGTTCTTGTCTGTCAGTCATATAATGGAGGTCTATGGGGTCCTCCTCAAAGAGCATGCACAGAGAAGTCCAAATTAAACATGATTTAATGACTCGTAATGTAAGTACACATTGATGGCCTAAGATATTTTTGAGAGAAAACGAACAGTATATATATATATATATATATATATATATAGTTTTTACCTCTTGTAACCACAGCCACATTCCAAATGATCTGAAGGCATGGGCGTTTCGGTCTGCGCAAGCACCGGAAGTGATCTCTTTTGAGCCAAAGACACCTACAACTTGGATGCCCTTAAGGTAAGCTAAAACATATCAAAAATTAATTTAACATATAACATCCGCGGGGATGATGTCCATTGAGAAGCTCGAAGGGGGAAAACCCTGGGGAGGCTTGGGGGACCTTGCGTACAGTGAACAAGAGGCGGTTCTAGCCATTTGTCCCAATTTTTGGTGTCTTCTTGTACGAACTTTCAAATCAGGGTTTTTAACGTGCGATTACTGTAAATCGTTCCACCAGGCCGTTTGTCTGTGGGTGGTAGACGCTGGTGCTAATGGTTTTCGCGAGTTGCGAATGGTTCGTGACATAAACGCTGTGCCATGATCGGTGAGAATCTCTTTCGGGATTCCCACCCGGGAGATTAATTGGAACAACGCTTTTGGCGGAAATACTGCGGAGCGGCACTGCTTCAGAGTACCGCATATAGACCTTATTCAGAGCAGCGCCATGACAGGTATGAAAGTGAGGCTGTGAGGGATAGACTTACCGTGTTTCCAATGGCATCCGCTGTAAAAACCTGAATAAAGCTCCTAGATTACCTACAATTTTCCACAGCTTACATTGTCGGGACTTTTTTGTCAACTGAAATTTCTTGGAAACATATTTTTCCAGTGTTTCAAGAGCAGAACAATCTGAAAACACATTAAATAACAGTACAGCCAATTGAAGAGATGCATGTCTATCCCTCACAGCCTCGCTTTCATTCTCATTAAAAATCAAAGATGGTGCTACCGTGAATAAGGCGACTAATGTAAAACTGTGCCCATGTGCTGACCGTTCTAATGGCCCGATGAGGTCAATGCCAATTCGCTCGAAGGGGACCTGCATTAAGGGAAGTGGGCACAGGTACTTTTGGGTTGGCCGGTGGATTCACCAACTGAGATTCACGACAAGACGCGCACCACTTGTGCACGTTCTCGTGCATGCCCGGGCAATGAGATTCAACGACGACTTTTGGGCACCAACAACTGAGTTGTATCCTGTTTTGACTGGGCGTCTTGGGTCACCCAATACAACTTATCTTTTAAAATAGCAAAATAGTGATAAGAGAGAGAGGTTGGTCTGGGTAGAGCAGCTGGCCATCGATCGAGCGGACCTAGTCTAAAGCATGTTTCAATATTTCATGACTGCTCAAGAGGAAAGTCATCGCGGTCTGTGTGGATGATTCACTCTAGAGCGCTCTGTGTTTATGCAGTCCAGAAAAACTGTAATAGCTGCTGTATCCATTTTTAATGGTCCATTCTTTTGTCATTGGTTGCTACAAAGGAAAAATAGGGATATTTTTGCAGCATTGTTTTAATTTAACAGCACTAAAAATACTAGGAACACTAAGCATCAAAACAACCAATATACACAACGTAGAACAGGAAATAAACAAGGGAAACTCAGGACTTAAATACAGTCAATTGATGAACTTAATTAGATTAACAGCCGGAAACTAGGTCAGGATACACATGGCAACGAACCAAACGAAAATACAACAAACAACACATAATCCTGATAATATGCTGATATCAGAATTCATCACATCTAATGCTGCCTTTTTATTAATTCAAGTTTCCTAGTTAAACATTGGACATGAATGTACTCTCAAAACTGATGCTCTGTAATATTTTTGATACCCAATTAAGTTCCAGAGTTGGAACATGTCATAAACTTTCTCCACAACAGACATTGTCTTGTCGCTAAAGTAGTGCATCTTTACATAACTGAATAATCATTTGAAGCAAAGTGTTTTATACACAATAAAAAATAGCATGTATTTGACCAAAATTCCAGAATCGTCGGAATCAGCGCTGTGAATGATTATTTTAAGTTGTCAATGAATAGGATGCTAAATATAATTTTGGCTTTAGTAAGATTTTTTATTAGTTATAAAAATAAAATAAATCATTTAAATTTTTTTTTTAATTATGAGTTTAATATTTTATTCAAGATATTATTCATCATGATTATGAATATGATCTGTTCATTATGGTAGGTATAATCTTAAATGATTTACTTGTTTCTAGCCCGTTGAATGATGTTATAATACATGGCAGCTGACTTCAATAAGCACGATTGGACAGTCGTCCCTTAACACCTAGTTTACACGTGCTTGCATTTATCTATGGTGTGTTTGTTGAACCAGTGTGTACTTCAGCATTTGGATGTACTTAGTGACGTTGCCAGGCATAATCCATGTAAAGCCTCTGGTTCAAAGAGGATCTTGGTTAGTACAGCGTACAGACACTCTAACACTCTTGTGTCAAAACGCTCGCTATTGTCTCTTGTGTTGGAAAGATATTAAATCAGATCAAGCAAACAATAGATTTAGGTTTGTTTAGTTTTTATTGGCATTTCTTATACTTATTTTACAACAACTGACACATTTATGCAGATGTACAGAAATAAAAAGAGTGGCACTATTGTGATGATGCAGAACTGTGATACTTCAAACTGAATGCATGTACTGACCATGCCCATGCTGTACAGTAGTGTCTACACATCGGGAACGACTTGGGTAATAACAAGTGAAAGTGACACGGTGAATACGTATATGACCACTTCAGGTGGAATAATCATTACTGGACACTGTCTAAAGGCGATTACAAAATAGCAGGCTAAGATAAGAAATAAGTCATGTGATCTCCTGCACCTCACAGTCTAATTAGTCTCCTGTCGCGCTACATCTGAATATGAAGCATGGCTTATATAGAGTAAAACACATAGCATGGACACACAGACGACTGAAAACTTTTAAGAAATTTCATCCAAAACATTTGTGTGTATATATATTTAATAAATATACACTTTAAAAAATATAAAGAAACCAACACACACACACACACAAAAAAAAAGAAAAAAAAAAAAGAAGAAACTTCACATGTGAGCTCTAGCCATCGAATATGCACTATGTACATTTAACCTTTGGAGAAAAAGATACAGAGTAAATGTGGCCATTTACTAGACTATCAGTTAAGACAGACACGCAACGACACTTTCTAGATAGAGCATTGAGGGGGTGATAAGTGCATGTGTGCAAACCGGTCAGGTGAGTACCATGGTAAAAGCACATGTGCACTGTTGCAGGTACAGCGGGGAGGGGAAATATTAGACAAAGCACTTCTTGTATGGATTTAGCCACTTCCCAACATTTTTGTGGCACGCTGGTTAGCTTCGTCAATCCTGGTTTTGTTGGAGTCAGCCTGGAAGACAGAGATAATAGATACAGTAGGTATATCAATCAGCGGGAGACTCACTGATCTTCTGGGAGAGGTGGGATGTCTGATAATAATAATATTTATGTTTATAATAATATATGAAACCATTTTAGGTGCTAATATGTCCATTTCATGTACATTTTAGGTGTGAATATGTACATTTCATGTGCTAATATGTACATTTTAGGTGTGAACATGTACATTTTAGGTGCTAATACTGTATGTACATTTCAGGTGCTAATATGTACATTTTAGGTACTAATTTGTACATTTTAGGTGCTAATATGTACATTCTAGGTGTTAATATGTAAATTTTAGGTGCTAATATGTACATTTCAGGTGTTAATACATTTTAGGTGCTAATATGTACATTTTAGGTGTTAATATGTACATTTCAGGTGCTAATATGTACATTTCAGATGTTAATATGTACATTTTAGTTGCTAATATGTACATTTTAGGTACTAATATGTACATTTCAGGTGCTAATATGTATATTTTAGGTACTGATATGTACATTTTAGGTGCTAATATATACATTTTAGGTGCTAATATGTACATTTTAGGTACTAATATGTACATTTTAGGTGTTAATATGTACATTTCAGGTGCTAATATGTACATTTCAGGTGCTAATATGTACATTTTAGGTACTAATATGTACATTTTAGGTGTTAATATGTACATTTCAGGTGCTAATATGTACATTTCAGGTGCTAATATGTACATTTTAGGTGCTAATATGTACATTCTATGTGTTAATATGTACATTTTAGGTGCTAATATGTACATTTCAGGTGTTAATATGTACATTTTAGGTGCTAATATGTACATTTTAGGTGTTAATATGTACATTTCAGGTGCTAATATGTACATTTCACATGTTAATATGTACATTTTAGGTGCTAATATGTACATTTTAGGTACTAATATGTACATTTCAGGTGCTAATATGTATATTTTAGGTACTGATATGTACATTTTAGGTGCTAACGTTTTAGGTGCTAATATGTACCATTAAGGTACCAATATGCAGCCTTTAGGTACAAAAGTGTATCTTTTGAAAGGGTACAGCCCCAGTGACAGCTTTTGTACCTTTTTTTCTGAGAGTGTATTTGCATTAAAAATGTCATAACTGAGTGAATGACAGTTGTCACAAACATGCGTAAAGCTTCCTTCATATTCATAACATATGTCATATCATAGTTATGAACGTGTCATGTTAGTCTTATGCACACCCCTTCAAGTAAAGTGTTACCAAAATGACTTTTATTTAGAAATCATGACCATTTTTTATGTAAAAATCACACTGACATAATATTATTATAAATTGGCAATATAAAATATTAAAAAATGCAGTTCATGACCCATTTAATGAGCAAACATTAATCTCAAAAGAGACTTTGTGGGATGTGACTTTACAAGCACCAACAAGCATCTTTTGGTATTATTAGAAGGTCTAATCTCATGAGAGAGTTTGCAGTCAGAATTGAGGCTCTTGCATTGAGTAATAATTTATCCGATATTGCAATGTCATGATCTTACCATGTCCATAATCCTGTCGATTTGACGGTTCTGGGTGTCGATCTCGTTGCCCATGTCGAGAGCCATGTGGCGTAGGTTACCGATGATACCTCCCACCTGTTCCAAATTCTCGTCCATTTCGTTCTCACGTGCATCATTTGTTACCCTTAAGATACACAAAAATAACATTATGGGTTTATTGAGAGCATTGACTGAGATGGGCACAATATCCTCAGGATGATTTCCACATTAAGGTCACAAGGGAAATCCATTCGGAAACCCTTTTCCGTCATATTTAGACTGGAAAACATTTAGTTATATTGTTTTCTGATGAAAGATTTAAAAAAAAATCCACAGTGAAACAGCATGCACTAATGGTATTAAATAAGTAAATATTGTCAATTTTGAATTCATGTTGATCTTATTCTGTCTGATGGGACAGAAAAAGGACATTAAACACATACATTAGGGATTCTGTCTACACTAGCATGCAACTGTCTAAAACTATTAAGGTGTATATGGATTCAAGATGAACATCCCATTTTGTTTGGGATATGGGATGGGATTTAACAACAGCTCAGTAGTTTCGTGAGCATCCCTGATGTGCCTGAAGCTACAGTCTGGCACAAAGCGGACATCCGTCTTCAACAGAAAATTATAGAGATGCTTGTGACTCACTGACAACTGAAATGTGCTGCACTCACTGATACAGATGAAAACAACAGTACAATATAGGCTACACTCACATGGTCAGCTTTTGGGACTGACAGCCTTATTTACTATGTCTCTCAAATGGTTTTGTCCACACAACAGACTGGAGTTAATGATCAAATAAGGTCTGAAAGAACAGGTGACTGTCTAAGTCAGTTCCCTTCTCTAATTGGTGGGGGATGCCTTTAAACATAGTGACAAATAGCAAAAGTGAATTCCGAGATTTATACAACAATTACATTTTTATTTAAAAGATTTCAGTACACTCCTGCTGCTGTCATCCTCACAAAACACTCTCCAGTTTGATTTTGTCATTGTATTGACTAGAATTGTACCTAAATATACACTGCACTTTACATACTACATCATATTACTTTAATATAATACAGACATTATTAACACACATTTAAGATATTTAAATATGACCTATTTTTACTTTTAAATTAAATAAAAGATTGTAATTGTTTCACATTACATTAATGTAAACAAGATATCAACATCATCATCATTATTATTGTAGTTTCGGCTAATTGTCATGAAAATAAGGTCACAATGAAAAAAAGTCTTAATGGTTTTGATATATAGCCTAAAAGAGATGGGAGATGCGAGAAGCCCAACATTCAACCCGAAAATAGTCATATAACCATTGCAATAGAGTGCCGAAGTTACGGCGTCACTCTGTAGGCCAAATCGCGGAAGTGATTTAGCATTTTAGCACTCCCGGTTCCCTCGCTCTTAAGTCTATGGGATTTTTGAATGGGTTTTTGCTAAATCGCCTGAAATAAGGCCTGTGGTGAACAAACAAAGCCTCTAAATATTTTCACGTTTTGATTTATGACATAAAACTAGGGTTGCCACCCGTCCCTTAAAATACGGAATCGTCCCGTATTTGTGAAATAAAAAGCGCGTCCCGTTTTGAATCAATACGGGACGCGATTTGTCCCGTATTTCCGAACGCATGATCCCATGCAAATCATGCCACCCGCATTCTGTGAAGACGCGTCCTATTCTACCCTTGATTGGGTAATACGCGCTGCCATTGTTGGTTTGATTGGTTTGTTTAACACCATCAGGTTCAGGTAGGGTTGCCACCTTCAGTGAGGCAAAATAAGGGACACCCATACACGAGATAAATAAATAATTAAATTAAATTTTTTTTAAAAATGTGTCGTATGGAACTGATTATTTCAACATGCCAACTTGACAGCTCAACAATAAACCACGAGAAAAAATTAGATCAAGTATATGTGAGCTTGCAACAGAAAACATTTTATATTATTATTTTACATTTTATTATTTTACTCTTATTTACTTATATAAACTCTTCTGTATATGTTAGGGATTACAGAACCATTAATCATGTTTTGACAATTATGCATGGATTGTTCTTATTTACTAAAATTGATTTTGAATTTGATTTTGAAATTGTTATGTAATTGTCTATTTTTTATTTAAATAATGTAGCACTTTTAAAACTTTCTTTTAATTGCCATAAAGTGTGTATAACAGATAGGATCACAATTTAGTATGCATATATGATTAATATTTAATAATGCAAATTATAATGTTTAAATTTATTAATCTGTTTAATAACATTAACAAATAGGTTACCTGTCTATCAAGCTCTGTATATTAATATTATATATTTATTTTCCAAAGAAAAAAAAACAACAACAAAAAACCATAGGCCTATACCTTTAAAAGCAAGGATTGGTCTGTCACGGCCATAGGTCACGGCATGCTGCTTTGAGTCGCATGTTCTCTAGACTCATCATGGAAACAAAGACACTAAAATGCAACCACGGGCAAATTATTTACTTTACTTCTTGTGAAATTGATTCCATTATAATTAGGCTATTAGTATTATCTATAGCCTACTGTAAAATCCTTATTTGTTTATGTGTGGGTCTATGTAAAATTATGTCTGTTGATATGACTATTTGTATTATTGGTAAGAAAATCTATTTATTATTTATGTATTCAGACATAGGCTATTGTTAATTCTATTATAGCCTATGGAATTCTCTGGGTTTGTTAAGCAAGTTATTTTTCTCCACAACATTCACATTTTTATTATTAAATATGTATTTAATATCTATCTCTCTCTTATTTCTTATTATAACTTATTTAGGCTACTCATTTCCACTGACACTTTCCAGCGAAGTATTTGTTTCCTCACACTCTCGTCGTTACTTTTGCATACGCTTTCGTTTCAGAGGTGAACAAAACTCGATGGCTAAAGACCCGCCCTCTTCTGACTCTGATTGGCCCTGAACCTGATGGTGTTAAACAAACCAATCAAACCAACAATGGCAGCGCGTATTACCCAATCAAGGGTAGAATAGGACGCGTCTTCACAGAATGCGGGTGGCATGATTTGCATGGGATCATGCGTTCGGAAATACGGGACAAATCGCGTCCCGTATTGATTCAAAACGGGACGCGCTTTTTATTTCACAAATACGGGACGATTCCGTATTTTAAGGGACGGGTGGCAACCCTAGGTTCAGGGCCAATCAGAGTCAGAAGAGGGCGGGTCTTTAGCCATCGAGTTTTGTTCACCTCTGAAACGAAAGCGTATGCAAAAGTAACGACGAGAGTGTGAGGAAACAAATACTTCGCTGGAAAGTGTCAGTGGAAATGAGTAGCCTAAATAAGTTATAATAAGAAATAAGAGAGAGATAGATATTAAATACATATTTAATAATAAAAATGTGAATGTTGTGGAGAAAAATAACTTGCTTAACAAACCCAGAGAATTCCATAGGCTATAATAGAATTAACAATAGCCTATGTCTGAATACATAAATAATAAATAGATTTTCTTACCAATAATACAAATAGTCATATCAACAGACATAATTTTACATAGACCCACACATAAACAAATAAGGATTTTACAGTAGGCTATAGATAATACTAATAGCCTAATTATAATGGAATCAATTTCACAAGAAGTAAAGTAAATAATTTGCCCGTGGTTGCATTTTAGTGTCTTTGTTTCCATGATGAGTCTAGAGAACATGCGACTCAAAGCAGCATGCCGTGACCTATGGCCGTGACAGACCAATCCTTGCTTTTAAAGGTATAGGCCTATGGTTTTTTGTTGTTGTTTTTTTTTCTTTGGAAAATAAATATATAATATTAATATACAGAGCTTGATAGACAGGTAACCTATTTGTTAATGTTATTAAACAGATTAATAAATTTAAACATTATAATTTGCATTATTAAATATTAATCATATATGCATACTAAATTGTGATCCTATCTGTTATACACACTTTATGGCAATTAAAAGAAAGTTTTAAAAGTGCTACATTATTTAAATAAAAAATAGACAATTACATAACAATTTCAAAATCAAATTCAAAATCAATTTTAGTAAATAAGAACAATCCATGCATAATTGTCAAAACATGATTAATGGTTCTGTAATCCCTAACATATACAGAAGAGTTTATATAAGTAAATAAGAGTAAAATAATAAAATGTAAAATAATAATATAAAATGTTTTCTGTTGCAAGCTCACATATACTTGATCTAATTTTTCTCGTGGTTTATTGTTGAGCTGTCAAGTTGGCATGTTGAAATAATCAGTTCCATACGACACATTTTTAAAAAAAATTTAATTTAATTATTTATTTATCTCGTGTATGGGTGTCCCTTATTTTGCCTCACTGAAGGTGGCAACCCTAAAACACACAGTTATAACCTGTTTGTGGCTTTTTAAACTTTATTGTGTCTGCTTGTGTTTTTTAAAAACTTTATATAGGCTTCAAAATGTATACATTTTGGATTAACTTGTAAAGATTATCTTGATAAGCAAAACGTGTAAGGGTCACAACTCTGTGTTGAACACAGATCTTATTTTTTTGCGATTTTCCAAAAGTCTATGGGGAAAATTCATTGCTTTTCGATTGAGGGAACCCATGCACCACTAGCAGTTGTCCAACAAAGTGACATCATCACTTCGGCACTCTATAACTCCGAAGCTATTCAGTTAACGTAAAAAAATAAATAAAAGAAAAACACATAGTGCTGCTTTAATGATATAATTTATCATGACTCTTGTTATAATTGCTGAATTATTGAATTACTGAAAATTTCAATAATATAATGCATATATATGCATGTCATCCATATACACACACTATATTTTCTATATATATATAATTATATAATGCTAACACTGCTAACACCCTAACACTGCACGTTTTCTTTGTCTCCCTAATCAAACACACCTGATTCAACTCATCAGCTCATTATCACATGGGAATATATATATATAAAACGTGCAGTGTTGGTACATGTACGGCTAATGACAAATTATATAATGTGTTAAAATATCCATTGACTTTGCCATCCATATTTGCAGTCATTTGCTTAGAGGTAACTGACCTGCGGATGAATCCTCCGCTGATGGCCATCTGCTCACGTTCATCGACCACACGGGCCGGCTGGCTTGACACCACCCCATCCTGGTTATTACCCCAGGACTGGCCACCGCCTTTCAGTCTGAACAACCACAGGAAGTGAGAGAGAGTTTGAGAAGCCGGATGGTGTGAAGCAACTAGACATGCACTGAGAGGAACTACATGCAGATATACTGTATATATATAGTACTTAAAACAGGAAATGGTGGTCAGGATTATCTGCATGTTATGGAATTTCATGAATAAATGAACGACACACTAGCGTATCACTTTCCTGGAACTATAACGTACACACTTCACGTACAGTGGGGTTTGACAGACAATTACACAGACACTGATGGAGATGTGACAAGTTAATTGGAGGAGGTTGACAACAATTATCAAGGTGAAGATACACAGAGAGGCATTCAGAAGTTACATGTTCTCAGTGAGTATACAGAATACAAATGTATAATGTGCACTCATTCAACATTTAGATACAGTTTGTTAGATCTGAAGTTAAATCAATAGACCAATAGAAAAGCTTTTATAATAACAAGTAACATGCATTGCATTCAGGCAGGGAAGGAGAATTAGGGTTTTTTCAGTAACAGTATGCATACAGTTAAAAAAAATCGGATCTGTTTGTTCAGACAGTCGATATCATATCACTTAAAGAGACAGTTCCACTAAAAATGGCAATTGTCAACATTTACACATCCCCATGTTAGTAAAGACCTGTGTGACTTTACAGACTTTCTTTCCTCTGTAGAATACACAAAAAAATACTTTGAAATGTGTTATTTTGCTAATTTAATGAATGGGATTAAAATTACTAAAACTAGAACTGAAATAAAAAAAAATAAAGCTAAATAGAAATACAAAAAAAAAACTGTAAAAAAATTACAAAAAGCACAACAAAATTACAAAATTTAAAATGATATTGAACTGAAAATATAAAAAAAATATTAATAAATACTATAATAGTAGGCTATATAAATAATAATGAAAATAACATTGTCACTAATATCTGTGAACTATCCCTTTAAGGGTCACATGATCCCAGAGAATTTCTTGCACAACTAAGAGATGATGCTAAAATTCACAAGGCCAATCATTTTTTTTTTATTACTATTGATGGGTCCACCCTCTGTCGGGCTGTTTGGGTAGCCAAATAAGGAAAAAACAGATCAAATTTAACTTTTCTCAAAATTTATGAATTAAATCAGATGTGATACAAGATATGAGTGTAATTTGAGTCAAATAAGTTTGTAGAAACTTGATTTCACCTGCAATTTAGGTTTTTAGGTTTTCTGTCTGTCTGAACAAAGCTTAAGCAGCAACTCTCTAAGCATTGCAGGTGATTTCCTATGAGCTGTTACCTTTTATTTAAACCTTTTATGTAAGATAGGGCTGCTTATGGAGATTTTATGGTATACGCATTGCCTTATGCCTCTGCCATTGTGATTACAGGAGCTGACATGAAATGCTCTGACTAAAGGCAGTGAGACTCAACCATGACCTCAATCCTTACTGACACAGACACAGGTGTGTATCTTTTAAAAGAAACACAAGTAAAAGTTCTGAGGTAAGCCAAAATCTTCTTTATCTGCCCATACTTTAAAGTCAACATGAAATCAAAATGGAACTTTCATACTTTATTAAAGGAGTAGTTCACTTTAAAAAAAAAAAAACTTTTGCTGATAATTTACTCACCCCCATGTCATCCAAGATGTCCAAGTCATTGTTTCTTCAGTCGAAAAGAAATTAAGGGTTTTAATGAAAACATTCCAGTTTTTTTCTCCATATAATGGACTTCAATGGGAACCAAACGGTTCAAGGTCCAAATGAGAGTTTCAGTGCAGCTTCAAAGGGCTTTAAACGACACCAGACGATGAATAAGGGTCTTATCCTTATTCATTCTAAGCGAAACGATCAGTCATTTAAAAAATAAATTAAAAAAAGTTTAAGTTTTATAAGCTCAAATGTTCGCCTTGCTCTGTTCTGTGATGAGCGTTCGTGACTCTCCTGTTCAAACTCGTTCATCAAAATAAACAAATCTTTTTTCGAGTCATGACTTGAAGGGTCCGATAAGATCCTTATTCATCGTCTGGTGTCGTTTAAAGCCCTTTGAAGCTGCACTGAAACTCTCATTTGGACCTTGAACTGTTTGATTCCCATTGAAGTCCATTATATGTAGAAAATCCTGGAATGTTTTCATCAAAAATCTTAATTTGTTTCCGACTGAAGAAAGAAAGAAGTGGATGACTTGGGGGTGAGTATATTATTAGCAAAAGTATTTTCAAAGTGAACTACTCCTTTAATACATACTCTCGTCTAACTGTGCATGATTCTTTATTCCAGTTGTTTCTTTATCTTTCATCAAAATGTAAAAACTTGCATCGCCCTTATGGACCTCTCATTAAAAGACCACTTTTCCCAATCCAATCAATTTCCGATGCATAAAAATCAAGCTCCAGCCCAACATTTTCCCCATTGAATATTCAATACACAAACTTTGAGTCACGTAAGTAAAAATGTGAAATCCCTTTCATGGTGACTTTAAAAGTAGAAAATAAATTACATTTACTGTTCTGTTTGGTTACAATTTTAGTATGTCAACCCCAAATACATAAAAGGAATAACAAATAACATTCATAAATACTTCATAAAACAACTGGCGTTTGGCCTGCATTAACACTGATGACCGTTAAAATCTTTTCAGCCAGTGACAGTTGCTCACATGAGTATTTATGCAGTGCCTGCACCATTATGCAAGAGTTGGTCACACAGAATATCATTAACATAATATTTGCATCTCATGAAACACAGAATAATGAAAACCAATGTGTGTGCCCACTTGGATATTACTAAACGTGACTGAATGTGCTTTGCATTCGCGTCGTTTAAAGGTGCACTATAAGTCATTTTTTCCACCCAACTTTAATTACCAAATCCCCAGTAAAGAATTAAACTATTCACATCCCTCAAGCAATATCCATCAATCCGAATATCTGTAATATTTAAAACCGTGACCGTTATTTAAAAACATTATGAATAACCTAACTGATTCATCTCCATATACAATGTATATAAGAGTGCAAATATCTAATAATTTGTTTAAATAAACTTTGAAAATGGCATTAAATAAAACAAGTATTAAACAAGAGTTTTTTTCTATTCTAAATTCTGATTGGATGAAACATGTTTGACACTCTCTGAAAATGACAGTGCATGTTTCTTTTCTGAATAAATCAGTGTTTTTGAATGGATCGTTTTAACCATTAATTTGGCTCTCTCATAAAGACAGTCACTTTTTTTGTTCCATGGATGAATATACAAATAAGTTGTAAAGATGATTCAATGACTCTCACATATCGGTCCAGCAAATGATTCAGTGACTCGCTCAAAGACAGTCAATTGCTTCATTCCTGACTTCATCAGTGTGTTGGAACGAATCTGTTGCAAGAATGATTCAATGACTCTCACAAATCGGTTCAGTAAATGATTCAGTGACTCACTCATAAATAGTCACATGTTTTGTTCCTAAACAAATCAGTGTTCTTGAACAATCAGTGAATAAATTACCAAGTCACTGAAAAATTCAGACTGACATTGACACTGAAAAACATTAGTCATAAAAACAATGAAAAGTCCCAGTGCTGTTGAACTGTTTATGAGCCCGTTTGGAATACCCGCTAAACCAATGGGGACCACAACTAGGCCTAACTGTTTTACGTAAATAAAAGAAAAAAATGACTTAAAGTGCACTTTTAATAAGGTAAGAATAGCACACAATTAGAAGTCAGCTGTAGTATAATCAATTACACTGGCCATTTATATGAGATGGTCCTCACTGCAAAACTCGAAATCCAAGGGGAGGAGTTGAATCTGGATCCAACTCCTCCCACCTTACATATCCCATAACCTGCCCTTCTCCGCCCCCTGATCCCTAACCCCACCCCTAATCCTACCCATCTTCACCCCTTAGATCTGGATCCAACTCCGCCCCCTGGATATCATGCTCTGCAATGAGGTGCTACTGATTTATATTGCCAAGATAAAATTTTCCACCATTTTACCCACATGCAGTGACATGCTTTGCCTTTTAGAGAAAACCTAAAAGTAGCCAGCTCTGCCAGCCTTGAGTAAATAAAGCGTGAATTTCTAATCTGCGGTCCACAAAGTTCATTCAAGGAGTGTGCAATGCTTGCATTTCGGAAAGTAGCACATGCATATTAAGCAGGCACTTAACATTTAAACACAACAGTCCTTGACCAACGGATCAGTGAAGCATATAACCCAGCATATTTGCGCATTCAGCCGGCAGAGAGCAGGGCCTACAGCTACATCTATGGGTTAACCAGTGGCGCCGCAGACGGACTTAGCTCTACCACCATCCCCATGCACAGAGAAGTAGTCCACGAAGAGTCTGTGCAGTGGGGGGAAAGTCGCAGCTACGGAGAGAGTAAGAGCGAGCGTGCAAGCTGGCCACGTGCTTTTATTTCCTATTTGTCGGGTTCAGGCAGGCAAGCAGGCAGGCAGGCAGGCAGGCGACAGGAACCACCTACTTGTTACATGGACACGGACATAGACCACAGAGATTTCCTAGATCCGTCAAATTCTTTTCTGCTTCTTTCATGTCCTTATTGATCTGATCCATTCCCTCTTCGATGCGCTCCAGTTGCTCTGATTTATACATTAGTCAGTTATGCCCCCCAAAAAGAATTAAAGAGTGCGAAAAAGGAACGAGGAGAGAAAGAGAAAGGAAAGGCAAGGAGGAAAAGAGGGACAAAAAGAAAGAGAGAGGCTTAAACATTCACAGTGACAAGACAGTCAGACAGCAGCAGACAGGTGAAAGCCTCGGACGCTTCACCAGTACCTACTTGTCGCAGGGACATACAAGTCCACAGCATTTGCCTACATCTTTTAAACTTTTCTCAGCTTCCATCATGTCTTTGTTGATATGGTTCATGCCATCTTCAACACGCTCGAGTTGTTCTGGTCAGGACAAAGGGGTGACAGCAATGAAATGAGACTTTTCATCCTGGCAGACAAACGATGATGATAAATGACATCTAAGTTGTCCAGAAACACATCTACTCAAAACGTGAGACATTTGAATGATGGTTCGGTTAGGTCGTCTTGAGACGATGGTCTATGAGGCGTAGTAGAGCACATCGGCAAAGTGTCTTTTCAACCCAAATGCATCTACAGGTTTAATTTGACATTCTGCCTCAATTAAATTAAAGAAATAATTAAAGAAATTGTTAACCCCCAAAAAGCTGTTCCAATATGACATATTTTCCTCCATAGAACACAAAAACAGGCTGTCTTTTTACTGTAAAATATATATTTTTCATATAATTAAAGCAAAAAGTAAATGACCAGGGCTGTCAAGCTCCAAAATCACCAAAAAAAGCGCAGTAAAAAGTATCATCACATTACATGGAAGAAAAAAAAAGCCATACAGGTTTGGAACAACATTTTTGGGTTTATTTAAGTTTATTCTAATATTTTGTAATAGTGTTGGGTTTAGGGAATTCAGTTGTTGTTGGCATAAAGGCTTGGGATGTGATTACAGGGGTGTGAATTAATGAATTAGAAATACTCATGTTACTGTAAGCTAATCAAGTAGTTTTATCCGAAATTTACTTTTTTAAGTAGTTTAAAAATTGTGTACTTGTATTTTTGCATTTTAAGTGATGTATCTGTACTTTTACTCTGCCATTTTCCCTCTGTTTGTGGTCATTGCAAGCTTGTTTTAATTGTATTTTTATCCATTTACAAATAACCAGAGTCCCGGCTGTGAACACTTCCAAAATCTCTCACGGTGAAACGTGACTTTAGAGTAAACAAACATGGCGGACGACAGGCAAGAAGAAATGGCGATAATAGTGTTTGGACTGGGGGAAATTCGTGGGGGAAAAAGAAAACGTTTTGGATGAAGATGTGTTATGCTTTCATCTGCCCTCAGCTCGCTTTTCGATTGGGTATCATTTCGTTCCACGTGACAATCCACAAGGAAAGAAACACTCCACGCAACAGGATTTCAGATTGTAAAAAATATTCAACATGTTGGATATCTTTATGATTTGAGATCGGTGCAGCGTTGACGTTCTTTCTAGCAGATTCAATCTCTTTACGCACCTCACACCACAGTAAAATCTGATAAGATAATCTGTAGAACCATCAAGATAATCGGGACTTTACCCAAAATTGGTCTGATTATCTTGTAGTGAGTGGGTGCCTCTACTGAAGAGCTGTATATAGGCTAGCCTATCCACAGGGCCTGAAATTTGGTGCGAGTTTGCAGGTATTGGATACAATGTTAATAAGTGCCACGTTCATAATGCATTGGAATTCCCAGTCATTTTTTATCACAAAATGCTAAAACTGGCCGAGAAATTGGCTCTTTTTAATCGCTCTCTCGTTTGAAACTATATCTGGTGTGTGATGACAAACTCTCATATGAATTTAGAAAGGTTTTTGTAGTCTTTGGCCTATTCTGGACATTTATATTGTATGTGCAACAATAGCTTGCCTAATTATTTTTAAGATTTTAAATCGAGTTATATGGTGATGAATGGACTGAAAATAACCTTTTCCATCTTTTCATCTCTGTAATAGTCTTTCCGTGTCAAAATTAAAACTTATGCATGATAGATATTCTTCATTCTTTCTAACAAACAACAAAAGATAATGTGAATTACAGTGTGTACACGGTTTTCTACATTTTTAAATTGCAGTAGTGTTTCTTATAAGGGAATTGAATCAGCAGCTATTCACAACTCGCGAGTACTTATAAATAAGCTATTTTACTCTTACTCAAGTAGTTTTTTAGACACGTATTACTTTAATTACACTACGTGTTTTTGGAAATTGGTAAAAGTAATGGTAATTTTTTCAGTACTCTTTCCACGGCTGAGTAATATAGCCACCCAGTCTGAGCTAAACTGGAGAAAAAGTCATGGTGTTTATAAACGTGGCATCATGAGCAGATGCTGAGAAAGAGAGAAGATGATCAGAAACAGAACCGAAATAAAGAGCAAAAGAGGATGAAATATGGAGCATAAGTGTTAGTTATTGTGTGGTAAGGGAAAGTAATCTGAAGAATGTAATGGTTGATCATTCATGAGCTGAAATGAACAATTGGCTGAAGGGATAAACATTCCTTTGGGGTTTTAGAAAACTGTAAAATCCCTGGGGGAGCAAAACAGATAATAATAATAATAATAATAATAATAAAGAATCATGTTTAAGTGTCTCTTGATCTGCCCTTAATTGAGCTTGTAATTTTATTTTTCTTAGCTAGTTTGCAACTGACATTGTCTAGTGTGAGGTTACTACCTTATACCGTCAAAAAGAAAAAACAACAACAGCTAATTGGGCTTTGCTGCTAATCCCATGAGCAAGAGCAGTGTGACTAAAGACAGTGGGGGAAGGGGTGAGAAAGAGACAGCGAGGGACTCATCTCTTCATTGGCTGACAGTGATGTAGAGCATATATTCACTTTTTTTTGCATGTGGGAGAACAGCAGGACTGAGCCAATAATGCAATGGCACACAGATTGTGGCACATCCATCTAGCAGCTTCAGTGCCTTTCTAAATAGTGCAAATTGACCAGGATGGCCGAGTGGTTAAGGCGTTGGACTTAAGATCCAATGGACAAATGTCCTCGTGGGTTCAAACCCCACTCCTGGTAGAAATTGTCAATTCTTAACTGAGTTAATGCAGGAAGCTGCTTTATCTTATAGACATGAGAGAAAACAGACATTTGAAAACTGAGGATTGACTATGACCTGGTGAAAACAAAACATGATGGCCGAGTGGTGAAGGTGTTGGACTTAAGGTCCAATGGATAAATGTCCTCATAGGGTCAAACCCCACTTCTTGTAACCTGACCTATTCTGGGAAGAATTAGTTCAAGATTCTATTTTACATTATAGAGAAAGAGAATTTCACCATCTATGTTTAGCTCGAAAGCAATCAGGACGACCAAGTGGTCAAGGCGTTGGACTTAAGATGTCCTCGTGGGTTCAAACGCCACTCCTAGTAATAAATGTCCACTCTAGAATTACTTAACACTAGAACGGCCACAACGGTCATTTTGACCGTTTTGAATTTTATATCTACAATAACTTTGTTGAAAAAAATAATAGAATCCTGCTGGTACCTGACTTTTCCTAAAATTGTCTGTATTTTCATTTAAAATGATTTTCATATAAATTAAGTTACGTAAACGTAAGGCAAAACAAAACAAATGAACATATTTACCTATTTCGGCCATAGACGGTCATATTGACCGCACTGAATTTCAGCCCATTCTCACCCCCAAGGCGTCACTTAACTGACGCCTTGGGAAGCATTTGGACATGCTTCAATATCTGACGCTTTAGGCGCCCTTTAGCGTCTGTAAGATGACGCCCTAGGATCGCGTGTACCCTACCCCCACCCCACACCTAAACCTAACCGCGTCCTCTAACAGACGCTTTCCTTTAGCGTCAGTCAGATGACGCCATAGGATCGCGTCATGTAAGTGACGCTAAAGGGCGCCTAAAACGTCAAATATTGAAGCATGGTCAAAGGTGACGCCTTGGGGTGAGAATGCGTTGTGAATTTCACGATATTTTTTTTGTTAAATATCCCGCGGTTGATCGTGGTCTCTCTCTCAACTGTCAATAGAAAGGTCCGTCCGGTCACCTCTGTAGTGGTGTTTGCTTTATAATAATTTCTACATTAGTTGTTGATCAGAAATAAGCAAACAAAACCAGACTACAGTTATCAATACTTGCGTTATAGGCTATATATCATCAGAGAGTGATTCAGAGTCAGAGTTCACATCAAGGAAAAAGAGACGGCTGCTATCATCAGACACGGTGGATCCAGATGTTCAATTCATATCGGATGATCCTGGTGAGCTCTGCTGCCCTGTCCTGCGCTGTTTGTTTTGCTGCATGGGCTGTTCACTAGTTCTGCTAGCCCTATTATTATTATTAGCCTATTGACCGCTTCGCATATCGTCACTATGTAACATTTTCGTCATAGTTTTTGTCATTCAAACCTAGTTTTTATTTAGTTATCGTCTCGTTTCCGTCTTTGAAAAAATGTGGTTGACGAAAATAATTACGAAAATTATTCGTCAAAGAAAAAAACACTGTTTTGAATCTAACGGTCAAAATGACCGTTTGTGGCCGTTCTAGTAGTTTTGGAATTCTGGCCAAGATCCAATGGACAAATGTCCTCGTGGGTTCAAACCCCACTCCTGGTAGAGCATTAGGATTTTTAAATGGACTTTATAGTAATGTGGCTGTCTTATTAACAAACTGGTTTCTAAACATTTTACCTTAAACGAGTGACCAGTATAGCTAAGTCATTAAGGACTTGGACTTAAGATCCAATGGACAAATGTCCGGGTCAAGCCCCACTTCTGGTAACAATGACATATTATGGAAAGAATTAGTTCAATATTCTGTTTTACATTATAGAGGAAGAGAATATTGAATGTATATCAAACGATTCACCATCTATATTTAGCACAAATGCAACCAGGATGGCCGAGTGGTTAAGGCATTGTCCTCGTGGGTTCAAACCCCACTCCTGGTACATCATTAAGATTTTTAAATGGACTTTATAGTAATGTGGCTGTGTTTTTAACAAACTGGTTTCTAAATATGTTAACATAAGGAGTGTTCAGGATGGCTGAGTGATTAAGGCGTTAGACTTAAAATCCGATGGAAAAGTGTCCTTGTGGGTTCAAACCAAGCGGCAACGTTCTAATCTGAAAAAATGAGGCCTACCCGAAGTGCAAAAAACTGCAATACATAGAAAATCCACTAAAGGGAGGCCCCAAAAGGGAGTAAATATCCATAGACTTCATGTTAAAATGTCCGTTTTCACAGGATAAATTCATGCTTTCACAGGTTGGTCCCATAGACTTTTATTGTATTTTTCGATAGGTTCTGAGTGCCTGACAACTGTGAGGGGGGTGATTTTTTTTCTAACTTGTTAGTTTAGATCACATTTAGATATAAAATGTGTGACAAATAAGGATGGTTAACTTTGATTGACAGCTGATAACAGGCTGCGCCGAGTGGAATTTGACGTCTCATTTGTACTTTGTATTTCCCAAGATTTTCCAATATGACGCCGCCCATACCCCCCATAAACAGCCTCAAAACTGTTCTTCAGTGACGTCACAGACGTTTTGTCCATATTTTTTACAGTCTATGGTTCAACCCCCACTCCTGGTAATGATCTATTCTAGCAAGAAGTAGTTCAGGAATGCTAGTTCAAAGCAACCAGGATGTTTAAGGTGTTGGTTAAGATCAAATTGACAAATGTCCTTATGGGTTCAAACCCCATTCTTAATATTAAATGTCAACTCTCTAATGATTTAACGCAAGGAAGCTCTTTAATCTTATCGAGATGAGAGAAAGCATACGGCCTTGTGTGTCCAAACCCCACTCTTGGTAGCAAAGCTGAATTCAAAATGGTAAAGAGATTTAAACTGTGCTTAAGTTATAAGTCTTGCTTGTAAAATGCAAGGATTTTTCAAAACCTCAACATGTTAATCTACCCGTAAATAAAACAGATGGAGTGCCATACCATAGGGATAGCCAGAGGTTTTAGGCTGAAATGTGATTAATGATCTACTACCACTGTGCCCTTGAGTTAGACAACTGACTTCAGCTGTTATAGCAATAATGGGCATTTAAAAAAAAAAGAAGAAAAAAAAGAAGACAATTTTGATTGCTTCCTTTATGTCTAGTGAATCGTTAACTGGAATCCTCCTGAGCTCTAGGAGACTATTGCATGCAGCAATCAGAGCGCAGCTTTACGTATGGGACGTGCTGTTGTTCTGCTCTAAAACTGGAGCCAAGAAAGGTTGCAGGATCATTTAAGGTAGGAAATGGATTGTCCTGAGGCAGTCTGAGGAACACAACATCTATAATTTAACACAACGAGAGCAAGGGCTGTATGTTGTTTTGACAGACTAATTAAAATTTCTCTTTTCTCTACACTTCGTATTATCCACATAAAACCGAATAAAGCCTCAAGCAACATAAGGGCTTAATTTATCAATGTTCTATCATTGATAAATCAATTATTGCTTTATTTTTCATTAAAATGCCTATGCTGTTTGTGGGATTGAGTGCGTTTGCCTAATTATCCTAAAATGGCAATATGTGTTAACTGGAAAGTCTTCCACCCCAGGGATTGTACACAGATATATTTCATCTGGTGAAGAGGAGAGCGGTTTGTCATTACCAGCAACATCGATCGTTTAATTTACCTTTTTCATGACTCTCAATGCTTCACTTTTGACAAGACGGCCTGATGTTTATGATCTGTTTAAATCGTCATTATGCTAATTTCCTTAAAAAGCATCTGGAAAAGCATTGTGTGTAACCTCTAGACAGTTACGTTTAAAATAAGCAAATAAAAATGACTTACTGCACAACCTTATTATGATTCCACAATGTGTTTTTCGCCGTAACTTACCTCCCTGCTCATCCAGCATAACCAAAGTTCTGATACCAGCATCCTTACTCTAATCCATCAAGAACGGCAAAGCAAGAAAAAAAGAGGAAATAACAAACAAATGAGAGAAGCCTACAGGTGAAGATTAGATTCACACATATTCAGGTCAGATATATATGGAAGCTTGTTTCCGCCACTGAATAAAAAAAAATAAATAATAATAATTGCAACTTTTTATCTCACAATTGCGAGATAAGGAGTCAGAATCGTGAGAAATGAAGTCACAATTGCGAGATATAAAGTCGCAATTGCGTCTTATAAAGTCAGAATTGCGAGATATAAAGTCAGAATTGCGAGATATAAAGTCTAGAAGTCTAGAAAGAGAAAAAAAGACAGAAGTGAGACATTTTATCTCACAATTCAGACTTTTTTTCTCACAATTGCGAGTTTAGATCTCGCAATTCTGACTTTATAACACATAATTGCGAGTTTATATGTCGGAATTCTGACATCTTTTCTCAGAATTGTGAGATATAAATTCGCAATTGCGAGTTATTAGGCCAATTCTAAGGGGAAAAAAAGACTAACTTTTTCCCCCTCACAATAGTTTAAATCTCACAATTCTGACTTTATATCATGAATTTCTTACTTTATATCTCGTATATCTGACTTTATAACACGCAATTGCGACTTTATATCACGCAATTCTTACTTTATATTTCGTAATTCTGACTTTATATCTCGCAATTCTTACTTTATATCACACAATTCTTACTTTATATCTCGTAATTCTTACTTTATAACATGCAGTTGCGACTTTATATCACACAATTCTTACTTTATATTTCGTATTTCTGACTTTATATCTCGCAATTCTTACTTTATATCTCGCAATTCTGACTTTATATCACGCAATTGCGACTTTATATCACGCAATTCTTACTTTATATTTCGTAATTCTGACTTTATATCACGCAATTCTTACTTTATATCTCGTAATTCTGACTTTATATCACGCAATTCTTACTTTATATCTCGTAATTCTTACTTTATAACATGCAATTGCGACTTTATATCACACAATTCTTACTTTATATTTCATAATTCTGACTTTATATCAGGCAATTCTGACTTTATAACACGCAATTCTTACTTTATATCACGCAATTCTTACTTTATATTTCGTAATTCTGACTTTATATTTCGTAATTCTGACTTTATAACACGCAATTGCGACTTTATATCACGCAATTCTTTATATATCTCGTAATTCTGACTTAAATCACGCAATTGCGACTTAATATCATGCAATTGTGACTTTATAACTCGCAATTGTGACTTTATATCTCGCAATTGTGACTTTCTATCTTGCAATTCTGACTTTATATCACGCAATTCTGACTTTACATCTTGCAATTCTGTGAAATAAAGTCAGAATTGCGAGATGTAAACTAGCAATTGTGAGAAAAAAACTCAGAATTGTGAGATAAAAAGTCGCAATTACCTTTTTCATTTTCCATTCTGTGGCGGAAACAAGCTTCCATAGATATAAGATGATAAAAGAACAGCAGAGAATAAAAGAGTCTCAGCATGCAGAGGACAGAGAGTAGCACGCAGCTTTATTACAACTATTGAAATACTTCACAAGCCCTTTTTTTATTGGGCAGAATATTAAAAGAAGGCAACAAGGTGGCAGACAGTACAGAGCTAAAATTAGTTCAGAATAGTAAACAGAGCACAGGATTGAACTCTCAAGGTACGGGAGGATGTGTGTGCAATATGACGAGTTCTCTGAGCCACACGTTGTTCTATTGACCCAAATAAAACAGCTGATTGTCTTATTCCGAATCCCACAACACCTCATTTTAACTAGAATATCAAGCAGTGGAGCGGTTATAGCAGCAAGTATACCTAAAGGGAATCTCTCTACATGCAATTTAAACATTTTTACTTCATTTAGTCAAATATCCCATCTGGTCTGTCAACTTGTTTTATAGTAATAATAACAGGTATGTGCATCTACTCAGCATTTAATCAAAGTGACATGAGGTATAATGGAAACTGGAGGCACCTAATATGAAATCAGATGCAAGTCCATGATGGAAGCATTATATTTGTTCAGCACTGGTGAACTTTGAAGTTCATTAGCAACCCAAGTATGCAATTTTCTTCCAACAACGGCTAAATGGAGCTGGGGAATGATTTATTCACAAATTTGGATAACCAATTTCAAGATTGAATATACCACATCTGGTACTGTTTTAATAACCATCAATATACAGACCAAATCTATTACATACACTAGCATTCAGCTATAGGATCAGAATTTTTTTTTTTTTTGTTTAAAAGAAATGGATACTTTTATTCAGCAGGGATGCATTAAATCGATCGAAACATACTATAAAATCTTTGTGAACACATTGTTGCAAAAAATCTATTTCAAATAATTGTTAATTCAATGAAATAATTGTTAATTCTATGTTAATTCATATGAAATTCTCCATACATATATATATATATATATATATATATATATATATATTATCATAATATTTAATTTCATTATCATAATATCATAATTATCATATCAATTATCAATTATCATAATTATCATAATATTTTTATTTCATTATATATATATATATATACGTATATATATACAGTAAAAACATGCTGATATAATTTTACATAATTTGTCCAAAATACCCAGAAAACTTTGTAAAAATATGTAACAGCAAAAACAGATAGAGGACAAACGCAACTTTTATAATTGCGAAATAATGTGATCTTTGTATAATTTCTGCATACATTTTGTACATTGTTATATAATTTTTTTTGCGCAGTCTGGTATTTGGCCTCTAAATAAAGCATCTTCTACTATTATGTGTGCGAGCTCCACTCTTTGTTGAACTTTCAAAAAAGAAATAAAATAAACCATATGATTTATATATTTTCAATCACATTAAAACTAAAATCTTTATAATGCCAAACCAACCACAATCAGTGTCTCATCTCCACATGTGGGGTCAGGGGTTTTTGATCCCTATTAGACTCTAGAAAGACTCATTTTATCTGTGTCTCGACACTGCCCTATCAGTAACACATAGATGGAGTTTCTCTGAAATCATTATTGATTTTTATCACAGAGCGGAAATTTGGTGCTATTTCACAGTCTCGATTTCTGACCTTCAGAGGCCATGAAAACAAGCAGCGAAACAACCTCTTTGTATAAACAGCTTTTCACATACAGCCAAACTGAGTTTGAATATAATTTCTAGTTTATTGCTATCACTCAGTCAATATCTTACCTCTTCGACCAGCTGCAGCATGCGGCGAGTACTCTCCAAAGACTGTAGAAAGAAAAAACACACATATTATTACTCACAATAACCTCAACAGTTACTACTACGACCCTGCTGTATGGGTTTTCATATTGTTATTTGAATTTGATGTTTTGAGGCACCACAGTTAGTACAAGGGCACAATGTTCATTTTGTCAGTTCCGAGTCCGACAGCATGTTACTAATGGCTGCCAAGTTCAGACTGAGCTGAATGTACAGCCATTTCTCTTCCCCCCCTCCCTTCCTTCCTGTTCCTTCAAAGAAAGCTCAAGATAGTATTATCCACTCATGAATATTTAAAGATCTCCCATTCCAGTCTACTGTATATATCTGAGCTGAAGAAATATGACTGCGCAGCGCCACAGGACGCTCAATAGAAGGCTAGGATTAGAGATCATTATTGTGATCTCTATTTTCTTTTTATAAGAGCTATCATTAAGCGTCATACCATATATCATGTGGAACCGTACACCACCTTGTGAGGCCTTGAAGGTGAAATGTGGTTTTATCTTTTGTTTTGCATAGATTACATGCAAAACCGTTATAACCTTTACTAGTCAATTCATGTGAAATATCAAGCCACCTTTCCTTTGTGTATCATCAGGTGATCTCCTCTCAGTGAACTGTAAAGCGTAATATAACAATAGATGGTGGTAATGCACAATTTTAGTCAGGAGAAGACACTGCGCTCCTTTAATACATTGCAGGTTCGTCAAAACACAAAATTGAATTTAGCTTTCGCTACTTACTGGAAAAAATAGTTTGTTACTACAACGAAGCAACTGAGATAAAATTAAGCAATACTGAAAAATGTAGTTAAGTTAGCGCCACTACTTGTAGTTAGCTATCCCCCAACACTGTCAATGTTAAACTATCAATGCTGTTCCCCAACAATGTCAGTGTTAAAACAAAAAATATATTATTTTTGGATTGATTGAGATAAAAAGTGCTTTTCTTAAAGGAATTAGGCCTAGTTTACATGCAAGTTTGTTCCAAACCTATATGACTTTCTTTTATCGAACACATCAGTCTATTGAAAGTTAACGGGGTCCAATGTAGAGTTGTCAAGTCGGTACTGGGATTTTAAAAATGTGACGATACCAGCATTTCCCTCTAACATTTGTCGAACGATTCTTAAACACCTATGATTGGCCATTGTGTTGATGTGCTCAACATACAGTATATGTCTATGATTGGCTACAATGATCAACGCTTCAAAAACATGTAGTCTTTGTTGAATTAAGCGCTTACAGAGATACACAAGGGAGCATTCGAAAGCGGGATCTATCAACCCATATATCCGCTGATAGATGGCGCTTTTGAACGCTCCCATGTGTATTGCGTTCAGTGAAGAGCGTCAAAGATGTCATTGTATATCATTATAGCCAATCAGTATGGAAGCTTGTTTCGGAAGCTTGGAAGCTCGAATTTACATCTCACAATTCTGACTTTATTTTTCAGAATGTAAATTTGCAATTGCGTGTTATAAAGTCAGAATTGCGAGATACGGTATAAAGTCAGAATTGCATGATATAAACTCGCAATTGTGTGTTATAAAGTCAGAATCGCGAGATATAAATTAAGAATTGCGAAATATAAAGTCGCAATTGCATGTTATAAAGTAAGAAACGCATGATATAAAGTCAGAATTGTTAGATTTAAACTATTCTGAGGGGGAAAAAAGTTAGACTTTTTTCCCCCCTTAGAATTGGCCTAATAACTCGCAATTGCGAGTTTATGTCTCACAATTCTGAGAAAAGATGTCAGAATTTCGATATATAAACTCGCGATTATGTGTTATAAAGTCAGAATTGTGAGATGTAAAATCGCAATTGTGAGAAAAAAGTCCAATTGTGAGATAAAAAGTCGCACTTCTCTCTTTTTTTCTCAGAATTGCGACTTTATATCACGCAATTCTGACTTTGTATCTCGCAATTCTGACTTTATAACATGCAATTGCGAGATAAAAAGTCGCAATTATTTTTTTCATTTTTTTTTTCATTGGCGGAAACAAACTTCCATAAATCAGAAACATATGTTGAGCGCGTCAAGACAATGGCCAATCAGAGGTGTTTAAGAATCTGTTCAACAGCGCTCAAAATGCTAGAGGGAAATGCTGGCATCGTCACATTTTTAAAGTTCAGTACCGACTTGTTACCAAAGTCATGCTTTTTGACATCTCTAGTTGGATACAATTTATTCTCGAAAATATCTTCATCTATTGCATACCGGTTTGCCAATTTTGAGTAACCGATTACAGAATTCTTTTGTGTCAATATAGTCTATTAAAATATTCAAGGAACTATGAGCAGTGGCCATGGTAAGAACAACTTTGGATGACATGGTTAGCCCTCCCACATGGAGTTGTGTGTCAAAGTTCTGATTGTTCAGCAGGAGGCCAGTGTGATTAAAGGTCTATCAAAGCCAGTGCAGAACCCCCACGGGGCAGGTGCTGTGAGGGAGGCCGTTTCTGTCTGAAACGAGTGCGGTGTGGAGAACCTCTCGCTGATCACCTCTGCTTCTGGTAACCAAGCAGCCTCCCCTGCTCCATGACAAATGGATGAGCAGTCTTAATATAGCCGCTTCTTTTAGCCCAAAACGGATTTATTAATTCATGGATGCTCTTTAGAGTGGTTCAGTCTTCTACTGAACGTCTGGAAGTCACGGTGTGTTCATTCTCCTTCACGCTGGGACAGGTCTATTTATGTACAGATGCTGTCGTATTAAGGGTTTATTTTTAGACCTGCGTCGACCATGGGGTTTGAAGGTGTACTTACCTCATCGCCCAGCTGATCAGCTCTGGCCTGCATGTCCGTCAGCTCATTGCGCATGTCGGAATCGTCTGCCATGGCTGTGGAGGGATGAGGTACTCGCCTCTAATTGGGTAGTGTAGCTCTTACTTGAAGGCTGGAAAAAAAATGAAAAATGCTTTGTGTTAGGCTATGTCAACAAATACACAACAAAACGATTTAGCAGTGCACGAAAAAGTTCAATAACATATTGCTGAATGAATAATCAGAATTTGCAAGTGACTCACACAGAGCAATGAACATTTATCTTTCAAGACAATGATATGGCAGTCAATACATTCAGATTCATTCTCAGAAATTGACTCATCAATTCAAGAACTCAGGTTTCACAACGTTCAAGAGAGAGAGAGAGAGAGAGAGAGAGAGAGAGAGAGAGAGAGAGAGAGAGAGAGAGAGAGAGAGAGAGAGAGAGAGAGAGAGAGAGAGACATATCCTGGAAAACGTGTAATGAGAATTGCATTGTGAATTCATTTGCTACCAAAAATAGTCTATTGGAGCCCAGTCAACATGAAATCAAAACTGACCATATTAATTTTCTAAAAGCACATTCCTGATCATATTGTGCAATTCATTGGTGAATGTTCTTTTTTTTTAAAGAAAAATTATGTGTTAATCCAAATGTAACAACTTGCTCTGCCTATGAAACAACTTTCATTTAGGCTGATGTCAACAATATATATATCTAATCATTTTATGATGGATCAAATTAAGTACCATCCTACATAGTCTAAAAATACATCTGATCACAGATATGAAATGGGGCCTGAGTACCTTTGAAATGGGTCCTGAGTACCTTTTAATGTTGACTTGAAAGACAAATTCCCTATCTAGACTGACCACAGGGTCATTTTAAAGAGTGTTCGCAGAAAAATTATACAAATGTCACAAGCATCTATGTTAAGAGTCTTGAATGCTTTCATAAATGCCACAGTGTGTCTCATGTACTATGAGTACATTTGTGCTTTTCATTGAAACTCAAGCACACACTTCTAAAGATGCTTTTATAATCTAGTTTAAATGTAGAAAAGCATTGGATACAAGGGTGTAATATTGGCTACAGCATCATCTTGGCATCTTGGCATCCTGGTACTGGCATGATTCCCTTATATTCCTCATTTCCTGGCACGGAAAATGTTTGATCTGCCCACTGTTGATCATCACATGGACCAATCAAAAATTTTGTCAAAATCTACCACTTAAGTATAGATTGTATCTCTTTATCAAAAGGACAATTTGTATGTTTTTATGGAATATTGTGGTGTCTATTATAAGTTATACACTCACCTAAAGAATTATTAGGAACACCATACTAATACTGTGTTTGATCCACTTTCGCCTTCAGAACTGCCTTAATTATATTAATTAATTCAACAAGGTGCTGAAAGCATTCTTTAGAAATGTTGGCCCATATTATCCTACATATAATCCTTTAGGTTTTGTTTGATATGGACCCATGTCAGAAATAAAGAATAATAATAATTAATAGGGTAGCATCTTGCATTAGATGGAGATTTGTGGGATGCACATCCAGGGCACGAAGCTCCCGTTCCAACACATCCCAAAGATGCTCTATTAGGTTGAGATCTGGTGACTGTTGGGGCCATTTTAGTACAGTGAACTCATTGTCATGTTTAAGAAACCAATTTGAAATGATTCGAGCTTTGTGACATGGTGCATTATCCTGCTGGAAGTAGCCGTCAGAGGATGGGTACATGGTGGCCATAAAGGGATGGACATGGACAGAAACAATGCTCAGGTAGGCCGTGGCATTTAAACGATGCCCAATTGGCACTAAGGGGCCTAAAGTGTGCCAAGAAAACATCCCCCACACCATTACACCACCACCACCAGCCTGCACAGTGGTAACAAGGCATGATGGATCCATGTTCTCATTCTGTTTACGCCAAATTCGGACTCTACCATCTGAATGTCTCAACAGAAATCGAGACTCATTAGACCAGGCAACATTTTTCCAGTCTTCAACTGTCCAATTTTGGTGAGCTCTTGCAAATTGTAGCCTCTTTTTCCTATTTGTAGGGGAGATGAGTGGTACCCGGTGGGGTCTTCTGCTGTTGTAGCCCATTCGCCTCAAGGTTGTGTGTGTTGTGGCTTCACAAATGCTTTGCTGCATACCTCGGTTGTAACGAGTGGTTATTTCAGTCAGAGTTGCTCTTCTTTTAGCTTGAATCAGTCGGCCAATTCTCCTCTGACCTCTAGCATCAACAAGGCATTTTCGCCCACAGGACTGCCGCATACTGGATGTTTTTCCCTTTTCACATCATTCTTTATAAACCCTAGAAATGGTTTGCGTGAAAATCCCAGTAACTGAACAGATTGTGAAATACTCAGACCGGCCCGTCTGGGACCAACAACCATGCCAAGCTCCAAATTGCTTAAATCGCCTTTCTTTCCCATTCTGACATTCAGTTTCGAGTTCAGGAGATTGTCTTGACCAGGACCACACCCCTAAATGCAGTGAAGCAACTGCAATGTGATTGGTTGATTAGATAATTGCATCAATGAGAAATTGAACAGGCGTTCCTAATAATCATTTTGGTGAGTGCATATCATTATTATCATTATTTTTTTAATTTATGTGCTCTTGTAATCTTTAATCAAAACAACTTCCCCTCCCTCTTGCAGCAACATCTCTTCTCTTCTCTGATGATGTGTTCACTGACATGAGGGCGGGGCAACCTGTCACTCACATGAGGTACTCAACCAGTAGCAAACTCCAACCATCTAATCAATTTCAGATGGACAAAATCAAGTACCACCCTACATTTTTTTTCTTGTTCGAGAAGCCATTTTACTCGGATATTCATCACAATAAGGAAGAAAACACTTGAACAATTTCAGTTTCATAGAAATAGAGGCAATGATTACATTTCATTTATGCATTCAACACAAATTTCTATTCAGAACCACTTATATTGCTTTAAAATGAGTCATTTCATGACATTAGCATCATTAGCATTGTGCCAGTTTAGCTACAGTAACAGCAGTCAACACTTTTTTTGTCTGCTTGGATGGTGCCAAGTATACCAGGCAATGTTACTTTAATCAAGTGTAAGTTGGCATCAAATCATGTAAATATATTGCCAGAAATCTGCTGTAACTGCTGCCGGTCCTCTCTGTCATTAGGCATTTGTCCAGTGCCAACTGGAAAAGGCAGCAGACCTCTGATACTCCATCTTCTCCCTGGCTGCTCCATATATATCTCTCCGCTCCAGTGGTGAGAGGTCCAGAGAAATCATGAGTAATTAACTTACTCTCTTCTTTATTATAGGACAATTAGATTAACTAAAGAGTCACATTTATACAATGTCAAGCTGAAAGCCTGCTGATCTGTTGCACGAGGCTGGCGCTTGTGGGCTCTTGCTTTTTATTATTCTATTCTAATTTTACAAATGAACTAGCTGGACTATCAACAGCCTTGTAATCAGGGGTGTTTCCTCTGAGGAGGCAAGGGATGCAGTGCCTCCTCACGAAATTGGATGAGAAAGGAATCCATATGGCAAAACCAAATCAATGCAAATATTACAAAATGTGACATTCCCAAAAGAGTATAAATCACTTGTTTTTCTAAAGTAACACTTTCCAGGAGTGACACCTACAGGTAAAGTTACAGCGCAAGTCCGTGTCTCTCTTGCCTCCACTGAGCCCATTTAGCTTTAACAGACCCCCCAAAGTGTGCACTGGGTTTGGTGGCGGGTAATTGAGAATGAATCATGGAGGAAAGTCAATACCTCTTTCGTGCTATGATTGAATATGATTGGATATGATTAGTTCACACGACAAATCCCACCTCTTGTTTTCGGGCATGTTCATAAATCGCTCTGAATGAACAAAATTATGGCATTTATGGGACGACTAATTAAAAAGTAAGTGAACGACTCACTTAGATATCACCACTTTATACCACCATGGCCTGAAAACATGATGACGGTGTTTTTTTTTTTTTAGTGAGCAATCAATCAGCTTGGTGAAATTAACGATACATCTTTGTGTCGGTGATCAGTGTTTACAGAGCTTGATGACTGATGAAAATTAGTAGATTATTAAAAAGAACAGCTCAACATCAGTTCACAAATAAAATATATTGTTTAAATTGTTAAAGCCTTTAGTTATTATTTTGGAATAAAAAAAAAAAAAATCTAACTTGATGAGATTTAGACTTTGTTTTAATTAATATTTAATGTAAAAAGGACTTAGCGACCAGTGTGCACTATATAATTTTACTATTATGATTGTTAGTATCAAGAAAGATATTAAAAATAAATAAAGGCAGCCCGATAGGGAATTTTCTGTCAGAGTGAAAATGATTGCGTCTTGTTTAAAATTATAATCTCTTGAAAACAAAAAAATTCAGTATCATATACAGTCTATGAGATTGAATAAACGTTAGTGCATGTGTGGTCATAAGCGCATGTCTCAGAACACTGACTGTTATTATTATAGCATCCGGAGCTTCTGCAGTGATGCGATGACTTTACTAATGGGCGCTTGACTCTTTAAAACTCTATCGGCTTTGTTTATGAGGCTCAGCCAGTGGAAATGAATAAGCTTTTTTGTTAGGCTATATGTTTTGAGATAGTATAGCTGCTGTCCTTTTAAAATCCATATTTTATTAATGCTATAATGCCATTTTGCTTGTGAACGACTCAATGTTATTGAACTAATCTGTAGAGTGACTCATTCATAACACTCATTTGCTCACCTTATGTTGTAATGATCACAGAATTAATCAGCAAACAAATCTTTTTAGGTGAAATCTTTTTAAATATTTTTAGGTGAACCGAATCAAACTATTCAAAGTCACAGGAATCCTGACTAGGCTTTTCTGGGATGTGCAGTAGTTTGGCAATCAAGGATGTGCCAAGCAAATCAGTAAAGTTGATTCCATCGAGGAATCAACTCTTGATTCTCAATGCCTCAGAATTTATTCTTTTTGAGATCGACTCCCAGTTTTACTAAAATATAAATCATTTTAAAGCATTAATAAAGTACATAAAACACATTTAGGGAATATTTTACTTTTAATAGTTCAGAATTGATATTAATCTGGACAAACTCAAAGGCATGTTAATTTTTGCA